ATTGACGCGTGCGATCAAATCGAACGTATCTATCGGCATTAGTAATTAGCTGGAGTAGAAGAAGTATATCTTCTTCCTTTCTCCATATATGGCTGACTAGAATGTCTGGCTAAATGGCCAGAATTGGCATGGAGCAACGTGGTCAGGAGCGACAAAAGATAAGTCCAATCTAGCTTGAAGAACAACAGCTAAGCAATAATTAAATATTGATCAAAAGAGATATGTAAGTAATGACTGTGTTGTATACGTACAATTGTGTGTAATTATGGACGAAAATGTAAAGATAGGACATCATTCAGGTTTGTCCTTTGTTTTATTAAATTCATATTTCTCGTTGGATAATCGCATATTGTTAGTGCAGTAAAATCCGGGTAAAATAAAATTCCGGGTAGGCAGACATATTATCGGAATTTGCGGATAGGAACACTATGAAAATTCGGGATAGGTAGGAACACTATGAGAATTTGCAAGTAGAGATAATAAAACTTTACGGGCAGGTAGGAATATTATGAGAATTCGCGAATAGGAATATTATGAAAGAATTTGCGGATAGGCAGGTAAAAATTCGGAGGGGTAAAGAAATTATTAGACTATTATAATTTAAGCTTTAAAAATTAAAACTTAAAATTAAAGGTTAATTAAAATCTAAATTAAAGCCTAATTTAAACTTTAAAATTATTTTTTAAAATAAAAAGTTACGTAAAATGTTAATTATAATATTTTACTTCAGAAAAAATTATTTATTAATTAAAGATTAAACAAAATTATTATTTATAAATTACTATATTAAAATTGTTTTTATTAAAATTTGAGTAGGTAAAAGAATCTTATAAGTTAAGATTTAAAATTAAATATTATATAATTGTATAATATAATATAGTTTCGTTTTATTGTTAGTAAAAGTGACTTCTATGGATAGTGTTAGTTATCCATTAGAAGTATTTATCAATAATGAAACAAATTTCGTTGTTTTATGTCTATTAACGTAGATTAATTTTAATCTCGATTTAATTTATCTATCCTAATTCTTGAAATTAAAAAAGTTAAAAGTAAGTTAAGTTGAGATTAAAGTTAATTTACATTGGTAGAAATGGACATTAATTATTTCAATTTACAAGAAAAATCAATATATAATGTAACATGAAAAATATTATGAATAAATTATATATGTATAATATATAATTTTTTTTTGATAAATACATAGCAGTAAATAATTTTATATATATATAGTTTTTCTTCGATAAATATACAGTAAGTAATTTTGGAATGTCTTTTTTATTGATATGTTACAACAATTAGCATGCAAGGATTACATTGACTTAAAAATTTTACACCGATGCTTATCCGCGTCTCAGTAATTATATCAGAACTAGAACCGGTCACATTTTGAAGAGAACTTTAGGAAACTCTGAAAGATATCATTCGTAAAATGTTGCGACATCGTCAAAATCTTCGAAAGAATTAAAATATTTCTAATATTTGATTGTATGTCACGAGAAATTGTTCAAACAATCTAGATTTTTCATGAAGGCGCATATTGATTGAATACGGATTAAATAATTTAAATTATCAATACGAAGTAAAATTGAAAATCTTTATCAAAATATTGAGAATAACTTTTTTTTAGATTGCATAAATTTACGTAATGCAACTAATACATTGCAGAATTTCTCTCTTAGGCTATGAAATTTATCAACAAAGTTATTCTTATTTTAACTTTTGTCCATTGCGCGCATGGATAAAAGTATTTATTACTTGCTTTAAGAACATCTGTCACGTGTTTAATAAGAATTCTGATAATTCTTATTTTTTAATCGTTTTTCCTCTTGCTGTTTACTTCTTCGATTTGAGATATCATATTACGAATCGAGCAGCACAATAGTGAGAAATGTTATCTAGTAGTGCTTCTTATTGAATTATATCTCGATCACAGTTCGATTATGTTTACTCCGTTAAACATGAGTTATGTACATGTTCATACGTTCGTGTTCGTTACAGAGTAAATAATTGTAGATACAATTTATAATATTCTACTATGTAAAACGAGCGTGGCGAACACGTAAGCCGTTTGAACGAGAGGTTAGAAAATTATGAAAGACGTCGACATACCTTGGTTTCATACGTCATCTGATACACAAATTTTTTTATATTTTTGGTAGAAAAATATCAGACGACTTTGAGAGGCGCGCTATTATTATAATATCTACCGATATTATATGTTACGTTAATTTACATATCAACAATATATTGCATATGATTGCATTTTTTACTTGTTACATCACTTTTTTGATACTATTTCCTATATTTTGAAACAATCGAGTGAAATCCTGCAACAAAGACTGATTGTTTTTTAATCAATAACATATTTAACTATTAATTATATTTAAGCAATCTTTAATACGCAGCGTATTCTACAATCTTTGACATTAATGCCAATAATGGATATATTTTGATCGATTTAAAGGTAATTCTTTATGATTTAGACATGGAGGCACCCCAATAATGGATATATTTTGATCGATTTAAAGGTAATTCTTTATGATTTAGACATGGAGGCACCATTTTTAATTCACAAGCCTCCAAAATATGAAGATCTTTCTGAATTAAATTTATTGTTCATTTAAACTTGAATAAACCTTGTTTTTTCAAAATTTTGATTAAGAATTTAACTATCAAAATTTACCTTTAAATATTAAAAAGTAGCAACAAACAATTTATTATATACAGTCGAAAGTGCTCGCGAAAGTTTTTCAAATTTTTAGCAGTTTTTAAGATTTTTTTTAATACTTTTTTTTATGTTCATATCGATTTTCTATTTACGTTGAGATGTCGATCTGAAATTGCGTGGAAATTTTTATATTGTCTAATAATTTCGTCTAAACTACTCTTAATAATAGCGTGCGCGTGCGCTTTCATCACATTATCCTTGTAATTATTTAAACTTTTTATAAAATCTTGGAAAATTTGGTATCAATATGCAATTTCCCTATTCGCGTAATTCGTAGACTCTCGTTAATGAATCCCACTTCATCCCGTAATAAATAAAAAATATTTTTTACAAATAATCATAATATAAAAGAAAATTCATCCTCAAAGAAATCTCACAAAATAAAAATTAAATATTTTGGGCAGTATGTTTTGTTTTTTGACAAAGATAAATTGTTTAAGTCTAAAATTTTGACAGATTATACTGTTGATTCAGAAATGGAGATAACCATTATTAAAGTACAACATTTGTTTCTCTACAGTTTTCTCAAATCTATTTATCTTATTCACGATGCGACTGGGGATGGAAAGGTGAAAATTTCAACATCGAATTTATCGCAATCGCAATCGCATAACTTTTTACGAAATGATGGGATTTTATGAAATTAACGAAAAGTGAAAAAATTCGCCCAATTACGGTCGACCACTGAGCGCTTACCGAAATAAAAATCACCTCGTTTCGATCAATCGTCTTGACAGAGAGATTGATCATTAATGTACGTATACAATTAACATTGTACGAACTCGCTGCGGGGATATAAAAATATATTACACGCGCGGCTGAACCGTCATTTGGTTAAGAAGAACTGTTTTACTCGACGCTAATGTGCAGTATTTCGTTAGAAATTTTGCGATTTCACTTTTCATCAGGCGATCCGAGTATCGAGACATTCTTCGCCGTACTTGTCGAATTCTTCTACGATTTGTGATTTGTCATCGCCTAAATGGTTTGACGAAAAAATACGGAATAGGCCGCAGTTTCGCGTGCACGCACTGCAAACGCATTAACAACAGATAGGAAGAGACCTGAGATTTATTAAACATTCAGTTCCCATATATGTTTCGTGATTGGTTTCAAGGAGAATCTTAAATATACTTTCGATAATACCAACATCTATGATGAAGTCCATATTAATTCATTCATTATTATTTTAGAAATCTTTTGATCTTTATAAAGACATACATTCATATTATACATTAGATAGAGAAAGAAGAATTATATTTTTAATTTAATTTAAAAATAAATTATATATTTTAATATATACTTTATTTTTTATAATAATATATTCTGATATAAAAAATAAGAAATAGAATTCTGCAAAAATTCATTTTGTAAAAACTATTAACATTGGAATTTTCTACTTCTAGTATATATAATAAAAAGGTGTAATTTGAAAAAAGTTTTATAAAATAGATATGCAAGAATTTTTACAAAATTAAAAAAAAGCGAGTGTACTTTTCGTAATTAAAGTTATCAAAAATGTCAAACGTATATTTCCAGAAAACATAAGTTATATCAGATAATTTAATATTGTAACGAATGAATTAATATTGAAATTTTTGTCAAATTTCTTTTGAACCTCATATGAAAATTCTTATATAATTACGATATGATTTTTTTTATGAATCTTTTTTATACGAAACTACATGATCGAATCAATCGTATCTTTAAAAGGGATATGAATCAATATTTTTAAAGTATAAATGTATAGATAATGCGCGTAAAATAAAAATATAAAGAAACTAAAAATGTAGAATAAATAACAAGTGTAAAGAAGAAAAATTATATGGTAATTTTAAACTGTTGCATATGCTCTTATCTAGCAATTTACATATTATAATTAATAATTTATTAGCTCGTATCCTTTTTAAAGCTAAGATGCTTTAGTAAACTCTTTTCTTGTATCGATTCTCGGGTGTATTCACGTCAAAGAGATTATAATGTTTTGTTTTCATATGAGAAAATTGTGGCATATAAATGCATGAATCTTATGTAAAGAATAACGTATGTGTATATATAAATACAATTACGGTTAATATATTCCTTACAGATCTCCTTTAAAACATTGCCAATCTTCGTAAATATTCATAAAGGTACATATCTAGGGCTGCCCAGTACCGCGTACTTTACACTGCGTGAATGCTAAGGTGAATGCTTTGATAAATTTGCAATGAATTAAAAAAATTCCATACATAGATGTTAAAATAAAGTATACTTGAAATTCCGTAAAAAAAATTTCTTATTTACCCATGCACTTCACAAAATGCAAATTAAAGCAAAATGAAGCTATTGAGATACAATTCTTGTCTTTTTTTATTTCGTTAAAAGACTGCATTATTCTTTTCTCTTTATTACATTAAGAGCCGAAAACAAGCCAGCCGTTTGGGACATTTGGTATATTCTAACAACACTGTTTTCTACCATATAAGATTCATTTTGAATCGCGCTACGCAAATCCTTCTGACTTTATCGTCAGATTCAACAAACGCTCGAACGAGTTAGTCTGAAACGTATTTACAGGTGAACGTTACGTAGCTTCCGTTACAAGTAGAAAAATCTCTTCGGTATGATTAATCACGTTTGCTTTTCAACGAATCTTATACTTTATGTTAGATCTATTACCGTCTACGTGCTACGTCAAAATTTCTTGGTAACAATTATTTGTCATCGATGTGGCAAATATTACACCCTCGTTACCTTTGTGCGAAAGGCAAAGCGAAACGCCGATAAAAAATGATTGTCTCATTACAAAACGCAATTCGTACGTGATCTCGTTTCTATTTATGCCGTGGATTAAGTCTTAAATCGTTGAGCAGATTTTCGCGACATGACGTCGTGTTCGGGCAATCGGGATCGATCGATCTGTCATTGCCAAATTCTCCCTTACGATCTTCTCAAATTTACATTTGGCGAAACATTGTCATTGAATGTTGAACATCAATTCCGTTACTTCGCTGTTACTTCCCCAGAATAATCTGGGTCCGTTAATTCTTTAATCCTCAAAAATTTTTTCGCTCCTCATACCTCATCGTCCTCATCATCCTCTATGTACAAAGTCGTTTCGCATTTCCCATGCTCAATTTGCCCCGAATTGTGCGCGGCTTCCTCGTCAACTATCGTCTGCGAGTCCGTGTCGTCGGCGATAATAGTGGGATTTTGTCCTCGTAACGTTGTCGTATCGGTCCTCTCGCTCGCAGATTTGCGCGATTCGCACTTTCCATCGTCGTCGAGATCATCCCCCGAGCTCTCCACGTCGATTTCCGTGACGTTCTCCAATTCCGGTTCTTCCAGCAGCATGTCAGCCTCCGTAGGCCCGTCGGACGACAAAGCGCTGGGATTCGCTTCCTCGATATCTACTACGTGACTCTCATCGGAATTGTCGCCGCGGCTCTCCTCGGTGTCGAGAGACACCGTCGTAAAGTATTTTGGCTCGCAATCGCATCCGGAACCCTCCACGACCGCCTGAGTATTCAGGGAGTATCGGCTTGATTGGGGATCTCTTGAATGCTTGTCGAAGGATCGTCGCCTGTTGTCGTCCGATCTGGAATGATGTAGCTTAGGATGACGCGATTGTCTTCGCAAATTCTCCCCGCTGCTCGCTCGCGATCTCATTTCCGTCTCCTCGACCATGTATCGGGTACAATCGACGCTGAATCTGTCTATCGAAAGTTTCCTACAAATTCGGTTAAGAGAAAAATTTCATTACGTCTCTTGATAAAAAAAGATAAAAAAACTGAAGTGAAATTAAAATTATAATCAGATTTTAAATAAATATTAATCCGTTTTAAATTTAAACATTTTAAATTATTATTAATTTAAGATTGTAAAAAATTTAAATTCATAAAACGCAAATTGTAGAACGCAATAGTTATTCGATAAAGAACAAGCATGTGAAAAAAAATTCTTACAAAAAATAATTGTGGAATTTGTAATAATAAAATAAATAATAACAAAACAAATAAATGATTATAAAAATAATAAAAATGATTATAAAAATTAAACCTAAATTTTTTGTTACCTGTAGTCTCCTCTTCGAAAATCCGGACTTCTTCGGAACTCGAGGCTAGCCTTACGATGTCCCATTGTTCTCTCGAAACGACGATCACTGCCGATTCTGTCAAAGGACATTTTATGGAAGTTTGGTGATGAAATCTTGCGGAAGTCTCGTGGCGAGGCCTTATCAAATTCTTTCGATACGACCGTCAATTCCTCCAATAATCTCAGGTCTATCGAATTTCTCTTTCTTGGCACGAAGTCGTCTGGATATCTGCAATAGGCACCTGATCGAGATGTTCATGATTATTGATATTTAGACATGTCGATGTTTTTTAACGCTTATCCGGGCAACCTTCTTGTCTGGTATAAATGGAAGGCAATCTTCTTGGTCCATGACTAAAATGATCGGAGTCGGAGTCTGGTTGCTCGAATAAAGTTTGCGATTTTACGCAGGCAGAATAAATTTCCATATTTTCGTAGTGTTTAAACTAAATAATATTAGAAGCTACTTTTTTTATATTTTTCAAATGTCAGATGATCACGGCGATGATTTTACATATCTGAATGATTACATCACATTCAAAATTATTTATTCATAGCCACCTGGCAATTTAGGCGAGTGCACAAGAGTCGGTGCTGGTCGCGTAGCTTCATCGACTTCCTCGACGTCTTCTACTTTTGTTTGACGAAGCAGCTGATGTCGTCTCGCTGTGTCAGATCGATCCTTCACTTTGAGCGTAACAGGACCTTTGTTCGGAATGTGCAGGTCCATCGCCATTGAAGCTTGACTACCACTCTTTTGATGCTCCAAGCTTTCTCGGCTGACCTGTTAATTATTGAGAAAAAAATTTTTATTAACTATTATCAATCGAGACAAAAGACTCGTTAAATTTGTTTAAATTTATATTATACAAAATATGTAGGGCACATCTTTTTTTTTATTTTAAAGTTTATTTTAAAGAACAGTAGTAGTTGACGCAAAAAATTTTGTTCTTCCTGCAACTTGATTTTTCTCTCTCGATTACCTGATGCGGGCTATAGCTCGGATTGTCAACCGAAAGAGCGTGTCTCTGCAGCAATTCTGGATTCAGTAGCGAACAACCCGCGTACTTGGGCGATCTACGGCGTGGTGACTTCTTGTCGATCAACGTTGGCGCACTCGGGCTCTTCTTTATGGAGTGCGCCACGCCTTTCTCCTGCAGGTTCTTCGAGAATTGCATGAACTCCGCCGTCAGCTGTTTCCTGGAGACTTCGTGCGTACTGGGGCTCGGGCTGCGGTTCACCCGGAACAGGCCCAGCTGATGGTCCCACTTTGTCGTTTGGCTCGATGTCGATCTTCTGTTGCGTTGGCTCTTCGAACTCCTGAGCGTTGATGCCTGGTTGAAGCGATAACGAGCCGGTACCACTTTGGCCGCACTGTCACGTGCTTCGAAAGTCATCACGCAGGCGGCCACTACAATGAAACCTGAAAATATCGTTATTTATGTACAAGTTATGAAATAGTAACTTTTACATCACGAGCTGCGTCTATGTACATTATCTCCCTACATTTCGCAGTTGTTAATAATTCAACATGTGTTTATGCAAGTTTCAATGAATTATAGATTTCTATGTAGATTGAACAAAATAGAACGGAGGCATAATTTAATGATAATATACGGGATTTTATCTCATTGCATGACGATAATCTCTTAACTGTAATTTTTATTGTAATTCGATTGTTTAATTTAATCGCTATATAATTATTTTATATTTTTTCATTCAAGATTATCGAAAATGATGTTACACGCGAATTAGAGAGATTTTAAAAAATATATTCTCTCTTGATGTAAACGTAATTAAAGATGTGTAGATAAGATAATCTATGTGACGCTTGTATCTGAGGCTACGTGGCAATAAGTGAGCGTGAGCCTCCATAGCTCAGGGGTTAGAGCACTGGTCTTGTAAACCAGGGGTCGAGAGTTCAAATCTCTCTGGGGGCAATTATTTTTTTTTAGTTTTTATCGAGTATTCTCGTTCGTGTAGTGCTCTGGAGTGTATTGCATATTTTTCGCGTTTCACCTGCAATTTTCCGCTCTACATCCGCTACATTATTATTTGACGTTCCGCTACATTATTATTATTAGTTATTTTCGATCTTTGTATTCCACGTGTAAAACTATATATTTGTGTACTTTTTTAGCTTTATTCTTTAAAATTATAACGATATATTATCGATCAAAAATATATAAAAAATTATGAAATTAATATTATTTTTTCACGTGACATATATAAATAACATGTTAAGTACGTATTGATTATGCCGAAAAAAGAATAATTGTGTGAATTTTAGAAAAATATTGGTGTTATTTAAAAAGTAATTTTGTAAAAAATTTTACGAGAAATTCACTTCACTTTTTTGCAACGTTACTACATCACATTATGTAACGAAAATGTCGATATGCACATTCTGTATTACGTAATATTATATGCTGTTATATATAGACATATATACGGTCTCGAGTACATTTATGTGCATTTTGCGACAGTAGATCTATCTATTACCGCGCAGTTATCGTTTCAAGGAGAACAGTGTGTCGTGTAACTAGTCGCTCGGTCGAACAAGTGTATCACGCTTGTAAATTGTGCAATGTATGTTACTATTACCTCCCAGACCCATAACGACAGGGCCAGCGTAGCTCAGATTATTCAGGTGAAATCCGCGCGACTCGTTCTTCACCTTTACTGTGATATTACCTCTGATTTCTTGTGCCACCGACAGCTGATCCGCATAATATCCTATTTAACGAAACGAGAGACACGTCTTTATTTTCTATCACACATACATGTAGTGACTGATGAGACATAATGGAACGAGAAAAATATATCTATATCGGTATTTTGAATGTTATTCGTGCGAGATCTTGCGTGATGTTTAACACATTAAAAATCGATGTATAAAATTAATTTATGAAACATTTGACAAGTTGACATATTGACATGACAATATGACGAGTGAGCTGTTTAACATCAGCTCACAAGACAGCTAGGACAGCTGTCTTATTAATAGATATAATACTTCCATGCTTTCCAAGCAAACTTTGTTCCTCGTCCCATTATGTTCCATTTTCGCTCATTTATTTTCAACAAAATATGAATATTTTAGATGATAGATATTTTATTTGATAGATATTTTTTTATATTCAAAAGATTATATTCAAAAGATATTTTTTTATATTCAAAAGATTATATTCAAAAGATAGTCAAATATCTTGCATTCTATGTGAAATCTGGATATTGTAGGCTATTGAATGTTCTATTAGATATCCAAAAATGATTGTTTGTGGTAATATGAAGTGAAATTGTTTTTAAAAAGAGTATTAAATTTAAAATATAAGTTCGCAAATTCATGCACATAAGCAGATTGCAAGCTTGCGCGTAAAAAAAGAGAAAAAGATCAAACTCTTTGCGCAGTCTATAAAATTTATTTATATTAAAAATATATAAGCTTTTCCAATTATTTTCTCATTACAAATAAAATAAGTTTTTGCAAACATCTTTAAATCCGAGGCAGTTTAAAGACGATAGAAATTTGATCAGGGATTGATTTTTGCAAGGGATTGATCTTTCCAAAGTGCTCTTTGCAAATGCCTCTAAATGGTTAGTGGTTTAGAGGCCAAGGCAGAACGGCGCTCGTTGATATGGACCGATGTTTAATTTACGTAATCTACTCACCTATGGTCGCCATGCAAGCTCCTAAAAGCATTAGCAGCAGCCCAATTCCAAGAGCTTTGCAGGCGTGCCACAAGCACCGCGTTGTCACCTTGCCTCTCACCACCTGTTCGATTTAATTGCCGTCGTTAACAGTTAATAAACCTGGACGATGGTCCAGTCGTTTACCCAGCTGTAGCGACAAACGTTCGTACGATCGCGTGTACACGGCGCCGTTAAATCGATCAGTACGATTTACGATATTACGTTAACGGTGTAACGGCATAGTAACGTTTCGTCGGTGCAGATAACCATGGGCGGTGTATTTTTATATAGCGTTTATCTAAATTATTGCACAGTGACAGTACAATGCTAGAATAATTATTTTATCAATCAGAGACTAATTAAAGAAAATGTATAATAAACATTCTTTCTACGGAAAGGAAATTGTGTGTCTCGTTGAGAATAGTTCCATATTTACAGAATCGTGTACAGGTATTATTAGCAGAGAGCGACAGTAATTTCTTTCAGCAGCGATAATGATTGTAGTCTGTTACAATTACAGTTTGCTTTTTGTTTATATGAAATCTGCATATACTTCCTATGCAGGCGAATTCTGGATCGGAAGTAATTTCCGCAGAGATTCATAAACGTGCTAGAGATGATTAAAATACGTATATGTCGTACCTACGTATGTACATGCTCTCTACATCATATATGTATTTATTGGGCTTTCTCTCTTTCTCCTGTCTGTCTTCCTCTCCCTGATAGTCTTTAGCACAATCTACTCCCTAATAATTAATAACACTAACGAGGCCGATAAAGAGAAAAATTGTTTGTTCGTGACACAGGATGTAATCATTGTAATCAATGTCGATTTCGAACTTTTATAAACGATGAGAATGTACCTGCACGTTCCAATTAGCCCCAGGCCCGCAAGCTCTTCTCTGCGTCCCCTGCCATTGAATACTTCCTTGTGGCATCCTGTGCTCATAAAAATAAATATTTTATATTAATCTTGCAATGCGGAAGAAAAGACATAAGACATAATTTAATAGAAAGAAAAATCTAAATTTTGTGCAATACAAATTATGTTTCGAATTTCGAAGGAGCCACGTAAAATTTGACGTAACATTTCATCTTGTAATGCGAAATAGACTTATATCTCAGAAATTAATTTTTCAGCATAGCAAATGGTTGAATATATATGCAAGTCATATTTTTCTATCGCCTTGCTTAAAAATTGAAGTGGTAACCTAGGATTCTGTTTACAATCTTCATCAAAAATTCTTTTCACTAGTATATATCTTTTTCCCAAAATTGGAAAAAATTATTATCTGATATTAAATAGTAATTTTTATTTTAATTATAATAATTCATTAATAGGATTTGCTTTAAGGCTTTATTGTATAAGCTTTAAATACTTGTTAAGAATTTATTATTGCACCAGTATGCGAAATAATTACGTCGTTTTTCTTAAAATAGGTATAAATTGATAATAGGAGTGACTAATCTTATCCTATGATGAATATAAAAAGTTATAGATATACGATAATATAAGTCTACTTATTTTTATCTAGTTCAGCTTTGGAATATTGATATTATTTTCTAAGAAAGCTATTTTCCTAAAAAGTATTAATAAATCTGTAGTAAGTCAATCTTTCTGCTAAAAAATTCATGCATCGCATTCAAAACGATCGGGAAACTTTTTAAACTAAAATCTCACTTAGTAGTAATAATAGAAAAAAAAATGCTTTTTAGCAAACGCATGTAAATAGTTTCTAACTTAAATCTCTTTTTAACGAAACTAAGAGACTAAGTTTATTTTTATGTTGGACATTAAGTTTATTGCGTTGCTTACCCTCACGTTTTCTAGATCCTTAGGCCTCAGAAACATACGATCCCGGATTCTGTAAATGTTTGCAAACAAATATTATAAAAAAAGAATAAAATTATTAAAAAAGAGATTACAAAATTGAACAATTGAACAACGTATAAAATTACAATGTTAAATAAATAAATATGGTTAAAATTCATATTTAATCTTATTTGCGTCTTTTGAAATTCACACGTAAGATGTTCGATTTGTGGAAGAATCTAACAACGCGCGAGCTCGTTAATTAACTAAATTCTGAATGCATCTCGGGGTATTATGCGCAATCTTTCATCGCGGGTTTCGTCGCGTAGTGTCGTCCGCGTCGTCGTGTTTTAATTTGACATTCGCGCACAACGAGCACGACGTTTCCAACACATCGACATTCACTCGTACACCACATAGGTCTGGCATACACCACTCGAAGCCGCGCACAATGTGTATGTGAGAATTATCTGACTGCGTCGCTCTCGTGTACGGCATACACGGCAGAAGTGCATTGTTCCTGGCTGCGTCTGTGCCGCCTCCCCGTGTGCATTTCGTCTTTCAATGTCGAAACTTCGTGCGCGTCCTATCGATTCAAATCCCTCTTTACAGTTGCAGCAGTGATCCTTCTTTAACGTCTCGAAAGTTGGCCATTTGCGCCTGCCAAGAGCTTTCTCGGCGGTAAGCTTTTCTTTCGAGCAGCCGCCTTTCGAGATCCCGCTGATGCCGAAGTAGTTTGTGCTCGTGTTCTCAAGCTCGGTCTCTCTCGTCGGCTGAAATCGTCCGAGTCATCGACAGAGCACGGTCTTATTAAATGTTCCTCTTTAATAGCTTAAAGCGAATTCGCAAAAAGAGAATTCAGGAATTGGCATTTGTAACATAAATACTCGTTTCTCCGCGAAGAATAGCACGCGACCGGAAGAGTTTACATTTTACGAAACTTTATTTTGTTCATTCCGTAGCTTGTAAAAAGAAAAATAAACAAAAAATCCATGGAACGTATAATTTAATTACGTAAAGCAATCGAGATAGGCGAGATTCAAGGATGCGTTTTGACAGTAGAGATCTGCGTATCGTTATTCGCGTTAGGTGCAACACGGAACTTCGTGCAGGATGATGAATAGTCTCGATTTAATACTATATAGCTCTTGTTCCTTGTCTATCCACAAGAGCACGTGCACAAGTCTACTTAAGTTGCATGTTGCGAACTCCACTCGGCTATTTCAGAGCGATTCGATCCGACGGGGCTCCCGAGAAACTGCTTTCCGCCGGATTGCTTCTCACACTTCATTCCGCACAGCGTAATACCCAATTCAGGAGAACGTTTCCACGTTATGGCGTTTCAAGGCCTTAAATTGGGTTGATCTATATATAACACACGCGAGTTACCATAGATCGCTCACTCGTGATAACAAGTAAATTAAATTCTCTCACCTTGTTTGAGAATATTTTTCTGTAGTTCAAATTTTTCATCCCGTTCCGACAGATTCAAATTAAATTAAAAGAGAGATTGCTGCTGAATGGTTATTTATTCGTAACTTTCGAAATCTTTTTATGGAACAGGAACTGTATAAATACACAGGATATCATGGATTTATCACGCAACCTCCCAGCCATGTATGTAGTAAAGTTTTTCAACTTGGAAAAGCCAAGTTTTTCAGAGAGTTATGAGCGGTTGAGAATAAAGAGATTTGAAAGAATTAAAACTCGGTGAAGTGTATATATAGATGACTACGATTTCCTTCGCAAGTGGATTTCGAGTAGACTTTGAATAGAAATCTAATTTGAGATTTATATATGTAACTAACAAGAGATAGCTGTTCATCGATTTCTCACGACGTCATCCGACTTCGAGAGCTTCTATTCGATTTCTATCGAGCAAAAGTCGAATTCGCATTTATCGAAGAATGTGTGGCTGATCCAACGGCGTGTATGTTTTCCTAAGCAATTGTTTCTAAACACGCGTTCTTGAGCTACGATTTTTACTTCCGTAACATTGACCAAGCTATTTCGCGTGTTTATTCGCTTTTTCAAACCAGAATTTCGATTACGGTCACATATGTCACGGTTAAAAATAGAAAACGCAATAAACTCGGGATTACCTTCGTAAATCTTACCCCAAACTCGCCTACTCGTTCCTCTCCCTTATAAAATCAAATCCGTCGTTTCCTCCGTTTGATTCCTACGTTCGACACGCGTACGCGCGTAAATCATTTATCGGAGCCGTTGAGCCGGGAAAATATCGATTTTATCGTGGCTCACGTTTCGCACGAGAGCGTGATTTATCCCCCTTATGGAAGACGCGATTTACGAAGTGATCGAATTATCCGCGATTTCAGGCAACGCCGGGGGTACTTCCGAACGTGGCTCTCGCGTAGCTCTCGCTTATATCTATCTGGATTATTAAAATCTGACACCTGTGCTCGCCTTTCACGAATGAGTGCCACGTTACCGGGGATAAATAATGAATTCCGATGCTTGTGCAGAGGATCGGTTACCATAACGACCGACTCGGCCGGAGTTTTCCATTTGCATAACCACGACCTTCTGTCGTACGCGGCGTGTTCCTCCTTGTCCAATCAAAGCCCGACTTCTGATCCACCGAATGGTTCGTTTGAATAATGCATCGCGGAAAAACGACGGTTCCCGGGAGTTTTCCGATCGTTTCCCGATCGTTTCCCAAGCCGTTGCCGTACGAGATTTCTATCGGGTTCACGGAGATCTCATGAATGATTTTTTCCGACATTACCCCGAAGCACCTGGCGCTTGAAATGCTCGCGGAAAATGTTTCCTCCTCTTGGTTTATTGTGGAAGCTCAATGAATTTTTCAATATTACGTATCATTTTTTGCGTGTACAAACATCGATTGCGCGTACGGACGATATAATAGATACATTTTATTACGTCTTTATAGCATCACCGTCTCATGTAAATATACGCGAGTATGCAGGTCTTGTATTCTTATTCCTTAATATCACGCAAATATTATATATGGAGAGGTCGCAATCTATATTTAATCCTTTGAGGTATGGTCGAAGCGAACCATCCGGTATTCACGGCGAGTGTTGACGAAAAGAACGAGATAAAAAAATTCCAATACGGCCTACGCCGTTATGGATATCGATGTAATCAACATCGTACGTTTCTTTCGCTACTAAAGCAAAATCTCCTGTAATTGACTTGGGTAAAATCGCTTTTTATTCAATATTAGCAAAATTTTTTTTTTATATTGATACAAACCGGTAAAAAGAAAATTATAGCCGGTATTCATAGTCGATTTTTATATTTAAAGTTGTCTTATACGGAAAGAGTAAGTTTTCTTAGGATTTAAAATTGAGCCAAATGTGTAAATATGATGACTGTAAAATTTTTTTATATTCTGGCAATTAATTTTACCAGTTCTATAATTATTTTGATGGTTCAACAAAATTATTTTTCAGACCTATATCCAGCAAAACTGTTCTTTCCATATAAGATCAATCGCAGAGTCGTATTGAGTATCTGAAGACAGTAAGAACGAAATACCGACCTATATCTATCTTTAGTAGAAAAGTACCCTGTTTGCATATTCTACGTGTTATATTACCCGTCTGGAGATTCGTTTATATCTATTATGGTATTTAGCTTTTTGCATGCGTCGCTTCGGGGAATATAAAAATATGTACGCATAAATATACAGCGAGAGATTTAATGGATCGCCCCGCTGTTGAATTTGCATTTTTAATTACTCTCCGTAATGCAATCTTCTTGATGCAGCGAGTCCTTGCTCACAGTATCGCGCACGACTTCATCATTTATCTCGCCATTTTCACGTACTGCATATGTACCTTTATATACTACGCTCTGAAATAGTACATAAAGGTACACATCTCTCTCTCTCTCTCTCTCTCTCTCTCTCTCTGTCGCTTCTGCGCGTTGCGTCTCTACTTTTGTAAACGAGCTTTTAAAACATTTCTCCCATCTAACTCAACATCTGAAATTTTTTATCTGCGCGGAGAGAGAGAGAGAGAGAGAGAGAGAGAGAGAGAGAGAGAGCTACTTAAAGAATTATTTAAATTACTACGGCTCACCTATCTCTCTTCTTCTGTGCTCCTTCTCTTCCCGATCATCACAGCATCCCGTTCGTGTTTTGCGTTTCACGCAAAGCCCGGAGAATCGGAGCTCGATGATTACAATTCACCTCTGACTTTCCTCTCCACCGACGTATCAGACGCCGGAATCAAAGCTCCATCGAAATTAACGTGCCGCCCACGCGCCTCGCTCTCTAACGTTCCGCTATTATAGTATTATGGTATTAAGTTACTCCATGCGATGAAGACTCCGAGAAGCACAATTCGAACCGCTAATCAACGATGTGGCGCGATAAACTCGGGAATTTTGGGCATCGTACCCGAGGGAGAGCATCGACGCGGCTTTATTTTTATTCCGACACGTGTTGCGCGGGTGAACTGAGAAAACACGGTGATATCCAGGGCGATTCATCCTCGCGTCGTGTCTCTCGCCTCCGTCATTCCTCGCGGTATAATTAAACCGTCTTAAACTTTCTAATGCCACCTGTCAATGTTCCTCAGACAGCTGTGACGTGAACCGTTCGATTTAACGATGACGGCGATCCTCGCCGATCGCCTCGTACAACTTTCTCTCGAATCGTGCCACGCACGACGAGCGTATCGACACTGTTGGTGTAATTTAATTTTATTGCAATTCTAAGTCAGCTCGTGATCCGAGGCGATTGTACTCACTTGGGGCGAAAGTATTTTTGTGCGTGTTTGCTTGCGTTCGTATAATGGCAATGAAGAGACTGTCCTGACCGAGATTAATCTTAGCAGATGGTTGCGCATTCGATAGCTTTCTCGCGGGCAGCGAACGAAACGGAAAAATTGCATTGAAATCGGGATTCGATTATTAATAAGTCAGTCAGAGTACCATGCAATCGTACTCTGAAAGCGAAGCAACGAGAGGAAATCAATGATTTCATATATAAAGTGAAGATGTCCGTTATGCGGCCCGTTGAACAGTGAAATATCCTGTCTGGCTACAATGCTCTTTGGATTCTTTTATGTATTCCTATAAAACGTTTTAATGTACCTCTGCCAATGAGACATCTCCAGCTCTCGGAAAGAATTTTGCATTTTTGTTGTTGCTCTCATCTTACACGCGCGCCGTTCGATCTCGTTCCCGTAATCGGATAATCTCATTGCTCTCGTACTTCGTATTTCCACATACAAATTTGCCTTTTGAATCGCTTTCGGGGGGTTTACTTTTAATTTGCACGCTCGTCGATATTTCCGTTTGACAAACGGCCAGCGTACGCGGTAGGTCAAAAACAGGAGATGCCCCAGGAGATGAGACGCAGGAAATCGACGAGATTTTCAAGTTTCAACGACCCTCCTGCAAGATTTAACGGCCAGGAACAGTTGGTCCGAGTTGGAAGGATAGTCGGAGCTTTTCGAGGGGATTTCGAAGATTTACTCGCTCGATCCACCTTATCGTCGCTACCGTAAGCACGTTTGAAGATCGCTTTCCACTCGCCGCTATCGAAAGATCTCAAAATCGCTCACCTTGAAATCCAGCGTGTCCAGAGGGGTATCTCACTGAATCGCAGGGTCCGCACGTCGATCTCCCGCACTCGTGTCAACCGCGCAACTACATCATCCCCGGAGTATGTCGGTTGCTCCCGCGGGTACAAACGAGAAGCGCGCGGGAAGCTGCGCTCGGGGAGCACAATATGAGCCGCCTGCCCACTAAATCATCCGACCGATCGAAACTTTCCGCCGCGTCTCCCCGCCGTGACGTTTTCCGTCTTCGCCGTTTGTTTTTCCGCTCTGTATACTGTTCACGCGTATCGAAACTGCAAAATGAAGCCGCGAACCCCGCGCGTTTATCCTGAGCGGCGAGTAGTCCGGCTTGAATGAATCCTGGGGATAGTCGGGCGATCCGTGCGGGGCGAGAGAGAAAGCGATAAGCTCGAGAGAGCGATATTAAATCACCGTCGTCGTCGTCGGCGGCGGCGGCGGCGGCGGCGGCGGCGGCAGCGGCGGGACCCGGGGGAGACGCTCGACGAGATGCTGCTCGAGGGAGTGTCCTCCTCCTTCTTCGGCATCACCTGTTGGTATCGCGCCGTGACCCCGGTCACGGTTCTATACGGGGTGGCACGCTGAAAACCCGCGGCCGGGAGCGAAGCGACGCGGCGCGTCGCGGCGCGGCGCAGCGTCTCGCGTTGCGCCAGTGCGCACTCGCCGAGCACCGCAGATCGATGTGTGTTATATCGCGGATTTCTCTCCGCTCTCCGAGAGAGGATAAGGGTCCTCTTAACTTGGAGGGGTCTCCTCCTTCTCTCTCGACGGTCGGTTATACGCGCGATGCGTTTACCCGCCGATTTCGCGGCGTATCAAATACACCTGTCGCGGCCAGGTAGCGTGCGAATGACAGCCTCGTGGTCTAGGTAGATATTTGAGTATGCGAATGGTATCTGGATACAAATATTATTAAGGAAACTAGTACGACATGCATAACAGGAAACGTCTGAACGCGCGAAGTTTGCGTATCTCATTTTGATCGTCTATTTATGCTGCCTAATTTAAACTTTCTTCACTTAGCAATCTTATTTTAATCTTATATGCGATGCATGATACTATTTTTATTTATTTATTTATACATGGTAAGAAGATGCGTAACAGTGGATATAATATTGGAATTTAGTCGAGATATTTTTTTTTCCGACATCAGTTATTTTCGTTCAAGTTGATGTTATTTATAGATATATTTATCGAGATTATCAGTGTGATAATATTTCACATTAAAATTTTATAACTAGTTACTCAAAACAAATGATGTCTTCTTTATTCAATTGTTATTTACTCTAGGATTGCTGAATCATATAATTTTATTAAACTAAGAATTACAATGTTGATAAATCAAAGCAATCAAATTAAATCGCTGCAGGAATACTATATATGCGATTTAAATTTATTTTTTTCAAGTTATTAAAATCTCTCAATTTTACATTGTCTTTGAAATGTGAAGAAATGTTTTAGAAAAGAATAACACTTTACTTTTCTAATTGGAAGAAGGATTAATCTTATCCTTTAGAGAAGATAAAATTTAGTACTGCTATCGTGTTTGCATATCGTAAGCAATCGTTTATTCATTTACTCTCTCAATGCACTAAATATTGTAATTAAAAGTTTTATAATATTTGGAGGATCACAAAGTAAATGTCGTATAGTAGGCTGATTTTGTAAATAATATTTATTAGATAATGTGTGCTTACGAGTATTAGGTAACATAATAGTACTCTAGGGTCCTTCATAGAAGGCGTACAAATCATTGTTCCAGCAATGTCTTCTAGATTAACGTAGATAAAATCATCGCCATCGCGATCGTCTTCGTTCGCTCTTCGCGAAACTTCATTGCGCGAAGTAACAATTTTTAATAATCGACACCTAAAATCGAATCTCTCTTCTTCGCCGAGGTCGCGGGTTATCACTTCTCGCATTTATCGGTCGAAGTTTGCAAGATTACCTAAATCATCTCGATAACTGGGCCTACGCCGTAAAATGGCGCGTAATCCATGATATTCGCAAACTCCACCCTTGGGAAAATGTCTTTTTAAATATATTTCTTTCGCTTTATTTCTCTCTTTTTTTTACTCGTAACAATGTTCTTTACTCCTTTATACTTGTATACGCGTACATGCTGCTAAAAAGTCAACAATCGTCTATTAATAATAAGAAATCGAATGGAAACGCTGCTGATTCATCGCTACAATGGCTTATACGGTATCGTACAGTATCGTAAAATTGAATTTCATAGCAGAGCAAGCGCGTCTAATTAATGTAAAGCCGCTTAATCGCGAAGGGCGAGTTACGCTATTACACCTCGACAAATTGGTGCGCGAGTTTAAGGGAAAATCGTTTTGCAAATTGCCGTCGCGATAAAAAGAGTCCGACCTTAATTACACGCGGACACGACCTCATTAATGACACGATTCGATTTTATTGCCGCAGTTCACGCGCAGTTTCTACGACGATCGACTCGACGTTTTTCTGGGTCGCTTCTAACATCAAACCAACAAAAATTCCTAAAATTAGTTTATACACGATCTAAGTTTATCTTTCTCACTCTCTCTAACTAAAACTTCTCTCAAGTAAATGCAATTACTTGTAAATATTTTCCTAAGTTTGTCGGAGCCGGCGAGCATGTGCGCTCGAAAAACGCGGCTCGACTTTCTTTAAAAAATCCTCGATTAATTAATTCCTATTCTCTTTGCGTTCTCTCGCACAAGTTTTCTCTCTCCATACACACATACACACTCTTCTCTCTCTCTTTTTCTTTTTTGTTACATATAGAATACTCCATAGCTCTATCGTCAATCCATCGTTTTCTTAAACTCTTCGATTAATTTTGATTTCAATTTTTAAATAAAAATATCAATTTTCAAATTATATGTAAATAAAAACGTAAGACTTTTCTTGTTATTTGCCACGAAAGCTTTTTGAATTAGTTTTGTGAACATTACTTTTTATCAATCTTATTTAAGAGTTACTTAATCAGAATATCTAATATTCTAATATTCTTTAATATTATGAAGAAGAATTATAAGAAAGGGCTCAAAATTAACGATTTGCAAATGAAGGAAACGGCGATAGGATTTTGGAATATTCTATGAATATAATATATATATTTATCTGTCCTCATATAGATAATAGCAAGTGAGTTAGTCTCATGCACGTTTTACGTCCGCAAGTACATTGATGTCTAATTTGTATAGATATTAATGTAATCACGTACATATCGGTATATATTTATAATTACGTTCATAGGATGTCATGTACATGTGTTTTATGTTTCTCGGTCTTTTCATTTTTTTACTCTTTCTCTCTGTCTCTCTCTTTCTCTCTGATTGTGTAGCTGTGTGTATATTATATCATATATATTATATATATATATATATATATATGTATATATATATATACTAAGTTTCTTAGGTAGTAGGTATCAATAATGTCTCTTGTCTTTTTTTTATAGTGTTAAGAATTAATTTATTAAAATTTTCTCTATCGTCTTCTCTCATTTTCATAGTGTCTTTAATATCTGGCCGTGCACTTTTTTTTTATCGCACGGAAGTCTCTCTCGCTTATTCTCTTTCGTTCTTTCACTCTCGCTCTCTTTCTCTCTTTTCTCTCTCACCTCGTCACGTAGTTAAATTCTTCTAAAAACTTTTACACGCTGTATATAGTCATCGAACAGCTCGAGGCATCCTGCTGATTGTACTTGTATTTGTTGATAATGAGATTCTCTTTTAAACGCCTCCGCTCATTCCCTGCTTTCCATTTCCGAGTTCTCGCAAGCGATATAAAGGGGCGATGCCCTTCAGAAACGGTGTTTTACAAAGTGTCTCCAACTCGCGATTGTCGCTTCTTTTTTTAGGATTCATCTCGAGCGTTCGACAAAGTGATAAATCGAAAATGCGAGCGGGCGAAAGTTTCACGTCGTATCTCTGTCGAAGTTTGTCACGGGAATTTACCGGCTATCCGCTTTTGAGCCAACTTGCACGACTTCTCGACGTCGATTCGACTCGTTTACGTCGATCGGCGTTGGCCTCGTCCTGAGATTCTCGAAGCGTCAAAGCGACGACAAAAGACACGCGAAACTGAAATTACTATTTTATTCGAATAGTAAAGCGCCAGGCATGGAATGAAACTTGGCTAACTGGGAAAGAAGCCTCTACGGTGCCAGCGCGTGTCGAATCGAAAAATAAGAGAGAGGAAAAAAAGAGGAGAACACATGACGAGCTGGCGTTTTGTGGTGACTGATTTTTCCTCGCGTTTGCATTATTGACGCGTTGAGAGGAGAAACGCGGCGCGGGATTCTCGCGGGACGCGTTTAACTTTTCAAAACTCGCAACTTCGCCCGAGATAACGGGCGGGATCGACTATCCGCGTAGAGATCTCGCTTGTCTTCGCTCGCATTGCTCGATGTATCGACATTCGACCGCAAAACTTGTTTCGCGGTAAGTGATCGAGAGTGCATTATTCTCGCCAGACGAAGTGGAAAATCGTAGCTACGGCCGGAAACGTGCCGCGTTATGGTCTCTCGAGTACAGTTGCCGAGAAACTGACTCGCTTCCCCCGTCTCCTCCCGTGCGGTGCATTTTGAAACTACCAGTACGTATTTCGATGAAACGGTCCTGTTATCCTCTCATCCCGCGGGCTTGATATATTTCTTCAGGGAGAATCTCACGGAAGACCATCGTGTCGCGATTTTCTCAGTTTCCACAAAGTCGCGGCGATCGCGTAAACTCTTTAGTCAAAGTAAAATCAGCCTGAACTTGATCTAAACTTGAAACAATACGACTTTTATCCCCTATCTGTGGAAGCTTCCCTCTTCGATAATCATATTTTTCCGCGTTAATTTAACGTTGTCGTTAATTTAACGCTGTCGACATTTCGACGTTAAAATCGCGAGTATCTTGTTATCTTAGCTCTTCTTAACTCAGTTTCCGACATTATTGAAATATGTCCGGTGGTTTTGGGACATGTACGTACGCGAGGATGGATATATCCTACCTTGTACGCACGTCTCTTCTATCAAACTCGCTCGTTGTTGTGCGCTTAGACATGTCATTTTTTTCTAATTAATTGTATATAATGTAATAAGTATAATATATATTTTTTTAATCTGAGTTTCTAGGCAGTTGTGTGTTGTTTACGGTATATACATTAAGGTTTATATAACTAGAAGATTTTCTTTTCCTCTCTTCTCACCCATTGTCTCACCTCCTGCCTCTTCGCCTGATTTTTCTTTCGTTTCGTGTCATCTTAGAAAAAATGAATTCTATTTCGCATGCGTGATTGATCGCTCTACTTGTTTAGGTATTACAAAATGAACACGTTGATCTATCGGGAGAATAATGGTCGAGCTGTTCGAGAAAAGAACGTTTACATCCATCTATACACATATATTTACATATCCCTTTTTTTAATGGAATTTTTTTTTACATCGCAAGTAATAACGTGGTCGTGAACGTAAGCCGAAACGTTGCCTCGAGGCAAATTAAATTCGAGGTGAATTATAGATTGTCCAAACGATACGAGACACGGGCGTATCGATAAATATTTCATTTCATCTACGTAAATAATTGACATTATTCGGATATAATTTTCGCGTCCTCCTTCTCGAAACGCTCGAAATTATTCCATTTTTTCTTTTTTTTTTTTTGTACAATACATTTTCTTTCTCGCCTCGCTCGCATGTGTTGTTCACTCATACACGCTCAAAATTATCTATGATTTCCCCTCTCGACTCTCGAGTCGGTTCACAATATTTGTCTCGGCGTTTGCTCGCGCGGAGGGGGAGGAAAGATCCATAAATTATTTATAAAGAATAACCGACCGCGCGTTTGTTCTCATCTAAACGTAGTTTAAGTTACAAAAGTTTACATTACGCAAACGCTACGGAAAGAACGGTATGTGTGTGTCTTCCTGACGTCCTAATCGGTGGTATTGAGCAAAGTGCCATAATTACGTACTCGTTAGACTTACTCGGTACGAATTAGAAATTATACGTATCCTCCTATTGGTCGTTTATGCTACTTAACAGTAGACTATCTGGCGGTTACTTGCGTTATTGCTGCTAAAATTTATGTAAAAGGGAGCTGCACCTCACTTTTCTCTTTCTCTCTCTTTCTCTCTAATTAATTATCAATTAATCGTAAAGTTCTTTTTTTTGCATTTTAATAATTTTCGTATTCGCTAGAACTCTTGGGAGATAAATGTATGCTGATACCTTTATTTCGAAGGGAAAAAAGGAATTTGCTCTTCTTGCTAAATCGAGATTCAAATGTTGCCGCGGGAGACGTACAGCCAACGATATATTTTTAATTAACGACTAAGTTGTTTAAACTCCCACATCCTTTTTCTCGGATGCTGCAAAAGCATGTTTCTTGTCAAGAGTCTAGTTCTTTGTGCGGACGAAAATCTCGTAGCTCGTGGAGTAGCGCTGCGAGTCGTCGAAGGCATCGATTGTTCTCACAAATACGTGTGCTTTCGCTCGTTAAGAGCGAGTTTACGTACGTATCGAAATATTTCTCGTAGATGTACAGTTCATGCTAGACTACTACGTAACGCTTCTTATCGTCTTTGTTCTACAGATTTCTATCCTTCCGTACTGCTATCATTTAACTGTGATATTAATAAAGTCGTAATCGGAAAATCTCGGCGCATCGACGAAATGTGCACGCTTTTCTCTTTGCTTCTGTCTCACAAAGTTCACTTCGATTAAAGCGGTATGATGGTCGATTGAGCTATAGATAACCTTTGTACCTCTTACTATTAATTTTCTGTATAACTATAAAAGCGTTTACAAGACTATGTGTGTGGTTTGTAACAAGATTTTACGAAATTAAAAATTATATTTATAATACCAAAAAGCTTCGGTGGATCTTTTTATCTTCTCTCGAGGCTCTGGATACACGCTGTCTGAAATATCTCTCACAAAGTATCTGCCTTTTCCGTCTCACACAAGCCGCCTTCTCTGCCGCGTAGCTAAACCGACTATTATATCGTTTTAATAAATTGTTGAGCGTAGCGTACCCACGTCTTTTCAATTCGCAATAATCGTAATTCGCTCGACTTTCCTCGACGATACATTTTCTCCCTTCTGCGACACGCCCCGATTTTTTTTTCTTTTTTTTTTAGATGGAAGCACGAAATGTTTCACGAGGCCCGCGGAAAATATCACAGCCCTGAGAGAAGTCACGAAACTATCCGCGACGCATCCAGGAGTTTCTTGGTCATAAAGTTATTTTGAAAGTAGCGTAAGTTCAAGTTTGACGCATTCTAAATTCTGGAATATAAATTCGTGCAATGTGCCTCTACGAGTTCTACCTCTTAAAACTGTTACACGCCATTTTCAAAATGGTTTGCGCAGAGCGGTAGCTTCCGAAGAGTATAGGTCGCGCGTTACATGTATGCGGGTGGCTTGTCAAATCGGCATCTTGTTTTCAAAGCACTTGTGGCTAAAGAACAATTCGGGTTCGTGCAATCGGAACAGCAAGTAACAGCGGTGGAATTCGAGCGATTGTAAATCGGTGGAATTCTACGCGAATATGTAAATAATCGGTCGCGAGTCGTAAAAATTGAATTTCCAATTGCCAATTGAATCATTAATCAATGTTTTTATGTACTTTTTTTACATCTTCGAAACTGAGAATTTTACAGATGTAAGTCGAGGTGTTCGTAAGGTTCGGTATAAGTGTGGCTTGGCAGTGAAAATATCGGCAACGAGTCGACTCGCGTATTACGTACGAATTTGTAGGCATAATTAAGCAACGTGTCGAATAGTCGATATTCCTTAGCGATGCGGGCCAATTAAAAGCATTTAAGTGTTATCTATTGATGTAGCGTATATCTGAACAAGCGTTTTCATATCTCATATAAAGTGACAAACTGATTTTCGACAAAAAGAGAATCGACGCATCGATTATACGAAACTTCGATTCGTTGCGTTGCTATCAATTACAAGAGGTTCGCCATTAAGCGAAGCGGTTTGTTTTTTCTTTCTTTTATTTTTTTTATTGATATTCGCGCGAAACTATCTTCGAAGCGTTAATTAATCGCTAGAAATTTTAGTATCTCTCTTGCACTCTCAATCCTCTCCCTTTGGAGATTTCGTCATATTCGCACATCATAAGTGCACTTGTCTAATTCGATATTCATGTCTAGAGCGTTTCAAAACTACACTGACAAACACCATTGGTGGCGAATTCATTGACGAATTTGGAGTCATTCCATCTTAAAAACTATCGAAATATTAATAATTTCTCAATTATAAACAATTGGATATGAATAATCTTTCGTATATTATCTTTGAAAAGTACAAACGGATAACGAAATCTTACTCTTACATTTAATCTTAAGTGAATTTTAAGATAAGCTTTTATTTAATGTTCATCTATACATTTAATACTGGAAATTAAAAGAAGATAGATTTTTTTATTAAATTTTCTTCTTTATCAGGAAAGATTAAGTATAAAATTATCAAGGAATTCGTATGTATTAATTTGTTGGAAAATTCAAAATTTTTACGATTTTATAATATATTAAATTGATAATGCAAAAAGAGAAAAGTGCAAATTCCGGAGAAAAAATTTTTCTGTAAATATCACTGCGTTTACCTATTAATTTTTATGATTCTCGTTATATGAAATCGAAGTTAAGTATTTCTTAGGACGCAAGATATTTTAATATAGTATATCATTGTTAATTTATCTAAAAATTATAAAAGTTCGACTTATCTCTTTGGTTGGTGTATGACAGTGACGTCATTTAGGATCGTTCTCTGATTGAAAGTATAAAGAACGACTTGTAACGCCTGAGATGATAATCGTGTGTTCGATGCCAATTATTTCGTATTTCGGCTTTTACTTTGAACGTCAGAAATCTTACAAGATTAATCATGTATAGTTGTCATATGCAATCTGTTCATATTCTTGCACATTTAAGGCTAAATATGATTGCCTGGTTCTGTATTTAATTAATTTAATATGTGAAGAACATGTTGTACGTGCTGGAAGCATGATATGAGAATCAGGCGATCATAATTGGTAATAAACATGCGCTGAGAATAAGACCTTTTATCTCTTTCAATAAAATTTCTTCGAGAATCTTTCTGATCGCCTTTGCGAAATGAATTAAGTGCATAATATTAATTATATTAATTATTATAACAAATATTTTCGTGAATTTAATTTTTTTTTCCTGAAGATTTAAAGAGCAAGCTTTGCTGCGATTCGCATTTTCAAACTTTCATATTTTTTGCGTTTTTTTAAAATTATTATTATTTATTTTATGTAGACACAGCACGATGTGCAAGATACATGTTTCAACATAATTTTCGTGCTGCAAATTGCCAAATAATGAACAAGTGCCGAAATTATTAAATCAAGTTTGATGTCTGAACGGAAATTCGTCTGACAAATGATCGCAAAATTATGCTGAATATTTTACTAGCGGAAGAAAGTACTCAGTTAAAAGCAATCATTAATCTTTCTTTAACATTATGAGGTTACTAATTCTCGTCCAATATTACAAAATGAAGTGGCGTTTACAAGAAGCGGATAATTATTTTTCAAAAATCGCGATCGCAATTTACGGTCGCTAAGTTAAGATCCTTTGAGATCTTAACCGAATGATGTCGCGGGCGAACGGACTTGCCGTCCCAAAGGTGTCTCCGAAGGATCCTCGACGCCATTAATTCGCGAAGGACCGGTCGCATTCCCGCGCTTGAATCTTCGTCTCTCGTTAAGGCGCGACGGAGTCCCTGAAGTAGAAGTCGGCAGTTCTTTCGGTGTAGATTGGTCGATCGTTTTCCGTTGGAGATATCCGCGGCGAAGGGTCTTCTTATGGCACGATCCTTTGGCGATTCGGGGCACGCGTCCTTACAGGCTCCAGTAATACTACGGCACTCGCAGGATCTTCGGCGATCGCGCAAAGTCAAGAAATCCCGGCACAATTGTCCTCAAAGAGGATCAAGACGCGCCATAGACGCAGGCCGAGTTGTCCGGTGGACTGATCTTCTCCACAGGTAACACCGCCGCTCTGTGCCACTCGTCACGAACCTGTTACCGGAAAAGATAGTGATTGCACACTGCGGCGAGATAAGAAAATGGAGAACGAGATCGACCTCGACGCTCGATATCGCTTCTGAAATCTTTTTCCAAAGATCATCGAGAGCGATCTCTCTGAAAAGAAAATTTGGAATCGCGATTGCTGTAAATTTGGTTTGCGAAAATGCTCACATCTAATTATTCAACTACGTAGTTCATTGTCCATCAATTTTTTTATTTTTTTATTCTAAATCGACTTGCCTTGAAAAACCCATTTCTGCTGGCTTCGCTTTTTTTTCTTTTCAATGTAAAATCATGTTTACTTCATGTATGAAAATGATTCTGAAAATAAATCTGCGGAAAACGGAGAGCGACGCCAAATTGTAATGCGCCCAATTAGCTCGGTGCGTGCTTACCAAAGAGTATTAAAACTTTAATAACCGTCGTCCAATCGCGTCGATAAATTTAATGCGCGCGCAATTAATCGCAGTCAGATATTTGGAATTACGCAGCTCGCCATCGCGTAGGATTACACGTTTTGTTCGGGCGCGAGCGTTTGAAGCGCTTTTCGTTTACAACCGTCGTAAATAATGTGAGCGTAAAACAGATTGGCGTTTCCTAAAGCCCCGATTAAAAATGAGCATCGCATCCTGTTACCTGTTCGACTTTCGCGAATACCCTCAGCAAGTTGAGGCCAGCTAGTTTCTTGATGTCCTCCTCTGTCCATGTAGGATCCTCCAGCAACGTGGCCAATAGTTGCGGATACCTCGAGACGTCTTCTAAACCCGTGGGAGTGCTGCAAAAGGGACAAATCTCGTGAGGATCGAACGATTTTTTTAACTTCACTGATTTGAGGTAACACTCAGAGAACGACGATAACTTTATCTGACTGCTGCTCGTCGTGTCATTTTCATTTTGTAAAAGAGCGCCACAGCTAAGTGTAACAATAAGCTAAGAATTGTCTGGTTCGTTTTGAAAACAATGAGTTATATTTTTAGCTAAAATGGCTTGGTATACTTAGCTTCAATTGATATTATTTAAACTAGTCTTTAATACTCGCATTTCTGCTTCGCAATTGACATATGTCCCACGCATTATTGCAGAGATGTAAACTTTCTAGATAATTTCTGAATGATTCTTATTATGGATTTTAAATTTCAAAATGAAAAATGAGAAAATGAGAAAAACATAATTAATTATTTCTCTTGTGAAACTTATCTTTAAATCAAATATGCAATGTAAGTTTTAATTATAAAATTATAAAATTGTATGTTTCTGTTTAGGAATAATATAGTTTAGTGAGTTTTATCAACAATGTTCGTAATGTAACATGAATATAAATTTTGAATATAATTTTTGTGGCCGTTTTATGAAGAAACAAGAGCCGAACATTTTGGATGGTAAACTAAAATAAATTTGGGGAAAAAATTACTGTGTGACGAAAAAGAGGAAAGTTATGTTAGCAGCGATATATTTTACTATGCATTACAAGAACCATGATAGGCACTTTGTGAAAGTTTCATGGCTGTGGAACAAAAGCACTTCCTTGGGCATTGTTTCTTGCGTCCCCCGTAAAATTAACCTCACGGGACTCACGCGCTTTTCAAAACAAGCGAAGCAATTATCCCCGAGTGTTGTAAAAGTGGAACTCCATGGGTTAAATACATATTTACGTCGGCTTCAGATTTATCGCGGTTTCGCATCTTTCAACGAGATTAATCGCAAACGTTATTGAACCAAATTAATTTTATATACAACGTCGCGTCTCTCTGAGTGCCGCCATCTCACGTGAAAATGGATATAGTGAAAAAATAATTACAAATTTATCCCGTCGAAACCCGCTCCGATCCCAACATGATCGATTCCCGCCACCTTTCGAATATGATTGATGTGTGCTGAAACAATATAGGACCTTAATCATTCTGTCCTGGCGACGACGCGTAAAATATATTTTAATATATTTTATCGCAAAATATATTTTAATATAAAATATTTTAATATAAATGCATGCACGTTTACCTGTGGGAATAAAATGTGATTGGGGAGTAACGCGGTTATACACATGAGATAAAGCGCTTATGAGGTTGTCGTGCACAGGTGGATAAAATAAAATGTGTTATTATCAGGTTGACGAACTTTCCAAATATTTGTGAGGGTAAAATAAAAGTAAACATATATTCCATGTGGAAAAACGGCTGAGTAAGATGAATTGCATGATTCTTGCGATATTAAAATACATGCTTGTTCCTAGTTTGAAAAATATTTGAAGAAATATTTCATTATTTATTTTATTATAGTTTATTATAGTTTTACGTCTAAGAAAAGATGCGAGACTCGAGAAATTATTAAGTTTGCATTGGAAAACATTTTAAAGTAATATAAAATATGACATGTACGATAATTGCGCGACTGTCACATGCAATATTGATATGATATAATTTATTCCCGGACCGTAACTTAGCACGATCTCGGGAATAGTGTTGCACGTACCAATAACGTCTTTTATAGTAGCGGTGCTGTTGCATGTTATGAAGTAGGTATAAAAAGGGACCATTGCCACTCCGCCATTCTTAGCCTGTGAAACAGATGCATTAATGTCATACACGCTGCGCGATCGTATTTCTTTCGATGTTTAAATGCATGACACGAAAATACATCGTACGCAGTCATTTGCAGTAAAGTCATAATGTTCATCGCACTACTGAAACTTAATTGCAAAAAAGTGATTGTTGAAAAAATCTTAACGGCTATTAGATTAGAAATATTTTAAAATCAGATATGAAAATGAATGCAATACTTTTATTTATAATTTATTTTGTTAAAATATCGGATGTATTTTTAATCTTAATTTATCAGAAAATATTATAGTGTATAAATCGATAAGAACGAATTTTTAGGTTTTTCATAACAATTTATTACAATTATTAAATAGACATTATATAATAATGAAAAATTAGTATATGGTTTATTTTTTAAATATTTTAATTTATTAAGCGAGAATAAATTTGTAGTTTTTAAAAATTTTGACATAACGTAGGGTGTCGCAATATGTTACAAAATCTACTTTAAAAGAAAGATTTGTGACATGCTTACATCAAAGAAAACATTTAAAAAAATAAATTATGATTAATGAATAAATATTACTAAAATTAATCAATAAAAGTTATTCCAAAAAACACCGCTTTTTTTACTTGCTCAAGTCTTTTTTTTTTATCAAGTTGACTAAAGCTATTGAGAAAACTGTTTCAAGGAATAAGCAATTGTCTATTTGATACTTATCCCTGCTTAAACTACAATGTTAATTAGGGCAGCAGGACGACGCGGTTAATAACATGTTATCGGACAAGTCAGCCAGGCTTAGATCGCTGTTACTCATCCTCTCGTTCTGTGAGTATAATTAAGGGAATATTGATCGCCCATGGAGAGAGAAGAGAGTGAAGTTTGTGGATATAGAGACGTTACGTAGACTTCAAGAAATTAAGTCGGTTAATTAATTAGTAACCGTCTTGTTTCTTGGGGATAATTAACAATGATAACACGCATATTATCTTACAAGTTGAAGATAGATTTAATTGAAGATATGTCTGTCGAGGAATCAGTAACATGATATATTTATTCAAGAACAATATGTTATTAAAAATAAATTAACATATGGCCAAAACTAAAAATTTATTTGTTTATATGTTATCGTTATTATTGCTTTTATTTATGTCTTGTAATTTTATACATTTATAATTTATATTTTTCTGAATAATAAACTTTTAATTATATCATTATTAATTTTTCACATAATTGAACGTGTATTTTCAAATTGCAGTAGAATTTTGTATGGATTCACATAAATAACGATATACTATGATACCATGGAACATAAAAAAATTTGTATCCTTTGCGATAAAGCTTGAAATCGAGTTAATCGGCAATAAGTTGAATTTAATTTTGCTAACTTAGAGCTCCTTGAGCTCATCATTGATTCGTCAATCGTTAATCGACGGGCGCGCGGCACGAGAATTGGGATGAAATTTTAATGAAGCGTCGCGTTTAAGTCCTTACTCGGCCAACTATTACGCGATTAATGAAACGTCAATTATCATATCGCGTTTATGCCTCTCGCGAATTTAATAGGCGAGGAAAAATTTCGGTGCGCGGTTGAGAGGACGAGATTAGCGTCAATTGGATTAACGCCAATTGGTGGTGGTGGTGGCTGGGGCGCCAGAATTACCGATAATAACGCGGATTAAGCCTCGAACTTCTAACACACTCTCGTGCTCTCGATTTCGGCGTGTTGTTTCCGGGAGGTCGCCGCTTGAAATCGTTTTGACATATCTCCACTGCAAGCCTCGCTCCGCGTCGATTGCGAACAGTTTGCGATTATCTCTATGGCTCGAACTCAAACAATTCGCGCCCTCGACGTTACTTTGTATTTGGTTACACAGATGCCGGGCGTTCTTGCACACCTCCACTGCGCGCATTTTACAACTTCGCGGATTACGAACTACTCTCGTATCGCGTATTCCGTTCGCGGCTAGCTCGTATGTATTGCTTCTCTCGTATGTACGCTACGAATTTAATTTCGACGTTACGCATCTCACCCCCGGATATCAGATCTGTCGATAAAACTTGCGCTTAATTATTCGGCACGGCACGCACACCTTCGTTTTGCTTTCGCATCGCATCGCTTTTTATTCTTTTCCATTCATACTTGAACGATCGCGATATATGAAACGACAATCGTCGGCAAATATTTATCCGCTTCATTTTTCCTCAAAATTCGAACCCTATTGTATATCTTTAATATGCTGTCGTA